CAAAAGGATAAGCGGCATACCTCATGGAAAATAGCAGATACAAGAAATGCAATCAAAATTGCAACCCCCTGCATGAAGAATTAACTGGAAATTAACTTTGAATCACAAAGTGCTGGTAGAATCAACCAATTTATCATTTTGCACATGATGACTCGGTAAAATCATAAAGTGGAAAACCATCTAGAGCTGAGGTTATTTTTGCTGGGCCGTTTCGAGAGAGCATTTAATGAATTTCTGAATAAGAAAAATAATATGTAGACGACTACAAAGCAAAATGCGAATAACCTCAAGAGCGATTTAGAGCTCTAATTCTTCTTCCAGTAAGCTTGAAATGTAATTAGTGCATAACTTTATAGGGCAGGAACTCTAGGTATCCGATCTATCCTACATTGTAATAAAAATATAAATAGAAGAAAACTGCTCCCTACAGTTGAGTTGCCTTCAAATAGTTGCATGTGAAAGAGAGATGTCCCACATACCAGACCTATTAAGTGCCTAAAGATTAGATCGAGTCTGGCAACCCACATTTTATGTTTAAATAAACTAACTAAACTAAGACTTGGTTTTTAAAAAAAAAAAAATACCTTAAACTAAGTCTTAATCTCAAGGTGGGCTACATCTTATTTTCCAAATATTATAAATTCATTCAGATAACAGAAGCAGCAACAATGACAAATTGATGGTAGAAAAGCAAAAGCCTGAAGTCTAAACGAATTGATTTACCTTTGGTATGCCATTTCTCAAGCATGGGAAATAAAGATGACGAACCATCCACTTATGAACAGGCTGCAATTATCAAAGATATTCTAATTACTAAGGAAAGATGATACAAAACACCAATGAAAAAAATAACACTTAATAACATGATTCTATCACCAAACAACATACTAACCAATTACTTTTAGCACTCAAATCTCTTTTTATGTAAGATAGACTTAGAGGCACAAAACCATTCTCCATTCTCTCTTAACTTATTAATAGCAACAGATTTACAACCCAAAAGTATTAAAGAACAGCACTTAATTCACTCAATTCAAATATGCAGGAGATTGCAAATAAAGTAGAGTTCCAAGCATTTATGTAACTTAAGAGATTATAACTCAAATTATTTTTCTTATTTTGGAAACAATGAAATACATACGAAAACTGATTCATAGGATAAGTAGATAACATACCATATTCCACATTCTCCAGTACTGGTTACAGCAGCCGTGTCAGAGCAATCAAACACAATAATGGATCAAAACCTCTAATTAGTTGTGCAATAAATAGATTGTAAAATAGTAATGGACACACACATATCCAACTTACCTCATCAATTGTTTTTGCATTCCACCAATCTTTGTAAAACTCACGATCACCAAACCGCAGAAGTTCTGCAAGAATATTTAGCCTGCATAACAGTAGTACGTTAAAGTCTAGTATTCCAAAGCAACCATACATGATTAAGTTTCAAAATAACTAATGACTGTGTATAAGCTGAACCCAGAAGATTAAAAGTGATAGCTTGTCATCATAAATCAATTAATGTAGAGATACGTTAACTTTTGGTGTTCTTGAAAACACCAATAAAAATAAAGCATATATCTCCCTGCCCAAACTGACATCCATTCCATTGTCTGCCTGGATTCACAGATCTCTTGCCTTTACCCAAGTTAACACAAATCTTTTGGAATGCATAGGGCAGGGACAACAATCTGATTTCAAATGGAATTGAATGCTTATAGGCAACCTCTTTAGCCAAAAGCATGAAGGAAGAAAAAAGAGTTTGGACATTAAAAATATTCAATGAGAATAGAAATGATGATTTGTGGAAGCTGGTCCTAATTCTAATGTTCAGGACCTAAGAGCAAAAAGAGAAAAAAAAAAATGGATGATTCTTTTTCCAGTCACTATTTAATTGCCACTTGCAAGTAAAAAGATCACGATTGTTCAAAAAGTTATGAAAGCTTTAGCACCAGTAACACTATTATTCTTCTTTTGTGAATCGTTCTTCATTTTTTTCATTGATTTGAAGTATATATGAATTTTATTGCAAGTAAAAAATTCACTATTGTTCAAAAAGTTATGAAAACTTTAGCACCAACAACGTTATTATTCTTCTTTTGTGAATCATTCTTTATTTTCATTCATTGTATTGAGGTATATATGATGGGACTAATGAAGTAGTAAATAGAAAATTAAAACTCACAGCCACTTTAGAGGTAATCTGACTATTTTGAATAAACACATCAGTGCAGGTGATAAAATTGTGCACAGCAGCACTTTTGAGTGTTTTTGACACATTCATTCCATTTTTCACAAGGAGATAAAATAAACTACTCATAAATAAATAGAATCACACTACGTTGATGTAATGGAGGAATGGATCTGTGATTTTGTGTTGAATACTAGTTAGGCAGCCTAACTTTATGCCAGAAATTATTAGACAGAGAAGAAGCAAGGTCTGAAAATATGGTCAAAACTGCTAGGTAGATGGATGTGTGGGAATGCAAAAAGTGAACATAATTAACATTAACAATTACACACTTGGTTTAGTCAAGTAGTGGTTTTTTTAAAAAAAAAAATAAAAATTGTTACGAAAGTAAAGAGAGAGAATTCTAATGTGCTGTCATATATTATATCAAACTCTCATAGGAATAGAAAATACAAAGCCCTATAAATAGGTACTAGAAAACTACGAATAGGAAACAAGTTTCCATATGTTCTACCTACCTAAAACCCTAAACTGCCTAATATATAGAGATTCTATATATCAAATATATATTCCTTAACACTCCCCCTCAAGTTGGAGCATATATTTTAATAATGCCCAACTTGTTACACAAATGAGTAATAACCCAAAATAACTAAATAACTAAAAACTCAAGTCCATTTAGGACACTCCTTTGACCGAAGACCGAACAAGCTTGAGATTGGATACTCATACTCCCCCTCCAACGAAAGCTTCGAACGCCACGAATCCCACGAACAATGGGTGAACACAAAGTGACCGAACAAGCTTGAAATTGGATACTCCCCCTGAAACGAAAGCCGTGAACGCCACCAATACCTACGGACAGTTGGGTGAACTCAACGTGGTAGACCGAACAAGCTTGGGATTGGACCATCCCCTGAACAGGAAGCTTGGACTCCACCAATACCGCAACTCCGGGTGAACCAAAAGTGGACCGAACAAGCTTGGACACACAAAGTAAAGAAGACAAACTCCAAACCGGAGGACACAAATTCTTTACTAGCAAAAGGGAAGCATGCTCCAATCAACGAGCATAAAAAAAGAGACAACACCAAAACACAAAACGAGACAGTACTAAAACACAAAACAAGACAGCACCAAAACGAGACAAACTGACCGTAGAACAAAAGGCAATGGTCCAAACTAAGTCCAGAACCAAGACAAACAGACTTAGGCGACCCAGAAACAAGTTGACCAAAACGTTTTTCAATCGTTGGAGGAGCCTCACGTGCTAGTCAAAACGTGACGACAACGGAGCGGGAAAAAAAGAATTATCATAAAGGCTCAGATACCATGTTACGAAAGTAAAGAGAGAGAATTTCTAATGTGCTGTCATATATTATATCAAACTCTCATAGGAATAGAAAATACAAAGCCCTATAAATAGGTACTAGAAAACTACGAATAGGAAACAAGTTTCCATATGTTCTACCTACCTAAAACCCTAAACTGCCTAATATATAGAGATTCTATATATCAAATATATATTCCTTAACAAAAATATATTTATAAAATTTGTCAATCAATGGAAATGGGAATAATGGAATTCCGATGCATGTCAATTACCTAGTAAGGGGTGTAACTTATCACCAAGCTAATATTTCTCAATAGTTGTTAAAAATAAAGAAACATTTAAATGAAGCATACCATAGATGAAAGAAGCAGTAGAACATGCAGAGCCAGACATATAAATTTGGAACTGAAAGCTTCAAGACCCTCTCTATAGCATATAAAAGGTTTCCTTGCAAGGGATGCTGTGAATTTCTCACAATTGGGTTGATATACTGCATAAGATACAAACTATCAGTACAATTCTGATAATATAAGAAGTCCCTCTTGAATTAGCATTTGAGAGAAGTGTTAATCACCTGTTCAATGATAAAACCCATTAATCCTGTAAATATTATCAATTTGATTAGTTGACGCACCACCCAACCCTTCCGAATGCAAGGAGACCGTGGATAACTCAGCTACAATAACAATGCAATAGTTTGGAGATAGTAAAAATCCCGAACTAGAAAAAAATAGTTAAGTGTGTAGAACCAATTGCTGACAAGATCTCAATAAATCTATAACTGAATCAACCAATTACTGACAAGGATTTTCAAATTCTGGTGTCAGATCATAAGAATTTGTTTGGAATAACAAGTACATGAAGAAACACAATTTTTTGGTAATTAATGCATCACAAGTCACAACCATCAATATTTGCTAAAGTATGCATTTCAACATGCTCCAAAAAGAAGGATGGATTAAATAATGCATTTGCAGTTAATTTATAACATGAAAAAGGAATAAACTCACTTATCTGAAGGCTCATTCAAGGAAATCTTAAGTGGACTCACCTGATAACATAATGTTGGAGCGACCATAAAGTATGCTAAGCTTTTGAAGCTAACCTCATAAGCATAAATTGTGCCTGGAGTATCCCCCTATACAAGAAACATCAAACTAAGAAAATGTTGATATTGTTTAAGAAAACATATTGAACATTGGTGAACAAATGGCATGAAGCACAAAATAAACTTAATAATTTCTAAGCATCCTCTTAAGAAAGAATGGTTTAACTAAGGAAGTTTCTGATCTAAGAAAACAAACTGAAGAAATGGCATGAAACATGAAATACACTAAATAATTTATCGGGGGCTTTTGAGTTTAATCCCAGGCATTTTGATGCAACATCATAATGCCTGGTGAAGAAAATCAAACATAGCATTGATATGGCATTGAATTACTCCAGCCTTATTTCCAAAATGTAGTTTCAATGGGAAAAATACAATTTAGTATTTACGATGGCATACAAATAGGGGAGGAAGTGAGCTCTCACTTTACCTTGTCAAGTGATTTTGCAAGTGATCTCATATCATAGTTTGAATGAGCATATGAAACCAGTTTTAACCATACGATGCAAGCAAAAAGCATCAAAGTGACACCTGATAGAAAAGTAGAATCACACCTGGACAATTCCAAAACTGACTTAAAATTTTTTAAAGGATATCAGCTATACATCGTTAGTAGAAATGAATTTCTTGTTCTCACAATTGTTAGGTTCCACTAGTTAACTTAGTATGTTTAGTATATTTGGTTTGGAGCAGTTAGTCTACACGTGACTACGTGAGAGGAAAATAATTACAATAGGTTTCTTTTCCAGGAACCTAATTTGTGAGTACAAAATTAAACACAAGGCTTCTTCAACTGCCATTTTGTGATTCATCTCTATCATGTCAGAAATTTTGCATTATAGCATCATCACTGGTAGCACAATGATATCCAGTATCTACAGTGATTGAGCAAAGCATCAAGTAGGATAAAATTCTGTCCTAAGACGAGGTAAACTTAAAAGCTAAGAAGTAGAGAACTAACCATAGAATGACAAGAACAGGATAGAAGATGACAGTTGTCATTATTATTATGTGTAGAGTAACTGCAACCTGCAACACTACAGCAATGTTACAACATGAAAATGAAAAAGTATACAAGGTTATTGGCTTCTAACAATAATTTACATCAATTAATCACAACCTTTAAATCTATGAACCAATTCCACTTCTCAACAATATCTAAGGATTCCAACACACCAAATAAATGGTAATGCTAACTTACTGGATCAGTTATGTACTTCTTCTGGACAAGCTTCTCAACAAGAAAGGCAGCAAGAGGGAAAACCGGGAGGCTAAGACTGACTCAAAAAAATACATGCAAATTTCAGTTTTTGGCTACAGAATGACCAGTATGAAATTCCAAAGAGAAGGTTTGAGATAAATATTACCAGCACATTAGAAGTGGCCAATCCCTTAGTGATTTTGAACTAAACCAAAAGCCAGCACTCATTAACAGCCCATACTGCAATAATAAAGTAGTCATAAATTTGTCATCTACCAGTCAATTATCTAAACGTTCTCAAATGTTTACTATGATGTCAAAATGAAGCAAGGAAATTCAAATGGAGAATGCAAACAACTACTTGACAAAACAACTATAGTCTTTAGCAGAACAAATCAAAGATCTCATAAAAGAGAGGCAAACCTTCATCAAATTCTCAATGATCAATCTGCTATTTACAGCAACAAGCACCACTATGCAAAGATTGAAGAGACCTGCATGGCTCTAATATAAGATGCAAAGAACCAGTTAAAATTACAAATGACGATACTGAGATTGTAGGAAGATTAAGCATTTTAAGAATTACTCAGAGCAAAGGTTGATTTATTTGGGTCATTCTATCACACAACATTTTGGCATCCAATTTGGGAACAGCAAAAATATATTATCAAATGAATTTATCATTTCCAAACTGCAATTTACCACTGCTACTTAGATCCACCAAGCCTTTTCATTATTATCCACCAACTTTGAATCTCCCAGGACTCAGGATTTCTCAAAGATAATCGCAAACAAACAGTCATCTAAAAAAAGGCATACTAAAGCATTCTAAATAATAGAGAAATACGTTAACTCCTGTGGAAAGTTGGGGCACTGACTAAAGATACAAGGCATAATTTAATTCAATCTCAAACTCCAATTTTTTCCCTAGTTGTACAAGCAAGATATTTCAAGTTGCGTTGCAGCTATAATTCCTTCTGATATTAACATCTTTAGCCTAAAATGTTGCAAATTGACCCAGTTTTCTGTAAAATGAATACATACAGGAATTGATAAAGTTTACTGAATATAAATTTCCGGCAGAAGTTAACCAAAAATTGAGGTCAACAGCAAGATGAATAATACATGCCTGTTTAAAAATGGCGTCAGAGCTGAGGGGGCTCTCCTTGTTTCGACGGTGAGCCGGCGATGACGGCCTATATGCAAATTCAAACGTTACGGTATTATCAACTCCTCCGGCCACACCGCCATTTGCAACTTTGTGATCATTCCTCTCTTCGCTTCGATTTGCATCGCTGGGCTCGCCTCCGGATTTACTCAGCTCAGTCTCAGATTGCAATCCCCCGCCGCTGCCCTCGATCTCGTTCTTATCCTCAGAGCCATGGACTCCACTCTCCGCCGCCGTCGAACTCCGCCTCCTCCGTAGCCCCTGGTTGAGATCAGAGCTCCGGTTGAGATCAGTACCACCTTGAATCTCAGCATCTTCGGCGCTCGGAACCGTCGTGCCGACACACTCCGGCGACTTCATGACACCACCCTCACCACCGCCGATTGTTAAAGTGTAGAGAGAAAAAGTATTGCAGAATCGGATGCATTAGATTAGAGAGAGAAATAGATGCCAAAAGTATTCCCCATTTTTGTATCTGTAATTTTCATGCAAAAAAAGGAAAAAGAAAAGAAAAAAATAAAAAGTCTCTTGTGACTTATCTATCAAAAGGTGATGAGCGATTGGGCGACATTTCGTGTAGCGATTTCGATTCGTTGATTAAGGCGGTTCAATTTGTCATTTTCTTCAATGATTTAATTTAATTATTGCGAAAATGTTTTTTTTTTTTTTCCTAAATCAAAACAATTATTATGCTATTTGTAAAATGTACAATTCAAATTGATGAGTTTCTATTTTTTTTTTTTTAAACACTCCTTATTATTCTTTTACAAAGCAGTATCTGTTATATAATTTTTCAATCTTTTAATTGTTATTTAATACGATTGATTTTAAAATATTAATCTTTATATGGACATTATGTGGTAATGTAGTGTCGAGTTATATATCAAATTTAAAATAATTAAATCGGAGGGTGTGATTGAGTGAAATAGACTCATTTATCCTTAATTAAAGGTCAAGGGTTCGATCATTGGCTTTAAGAATGAAGCAGTCTTAAATTTTCAGGTCAACTGTCCCACCCAAAAAAGAAAGTACCTACAACTCAGCGAGGTAATTAGAGTCATTGTGTCTGACGGTAGAAACCCTAAGTATACCAAAAAAAAAAAAAAATTAAAATAATTCGTTATGTGGAGTAATCATGGTTACCCTAGCTTTCGTTTAATTTGGACGATGGGAGATGTAGTCGGCAAATTATTGTTTGGACAATAATAAAAAATACTTTTTTAATATACTAAAAGTACATTATTTATGTACTAAATGTACATTATATAAAATAACGTACTGTTTTAGAATACAATGTACATTTTTAATATGTATCTCTTATCTCTCATCTCTTATATATTTATACTATTAATAAAAGTAAAATTCACATTTTCAACTTTTTCACGCAAACTAATATAAATATTAATTAATTGGTAAAAAAAATTAATAAAGTTTAATTAGTAACAAATTTTATATGGAAATTAACTAATATCTAATGAATTGTTAGAACAAACTAAAGTCGATATGTACTTAAAATGAAAAATGGTTACCAAATTATGAGAATAATTAAACCATTATAATTGTGAGAATAATGTAAACAAATTATGCGTAATAAATGAAAAAATTCGTTACTGACTATTATTATTAATTATTAGCAAATGGAAAATAAATTCTGCGTAATAAGCAAATAATAATTTATTAATTATTATTTACACCAATAATAATAATTCGAATACTGATTTTACATCAATAATAATAATTCGAATTCTGCACACACAGAATAATAATTTTGCATAATAGTAATTTTTGAAGATTCCTTTTCCAATTTATTTGCATAAATATGAATTCCTTAATTTATTTGCATAAAGATGGATTCTTTTTCCTATTTATTCGAATACTAATTTTGAGTAAAGATGTATTCTTTTTTCTATATAAACACTTCATTATACATGCTAAACATGTAGTGGTAAACTTCCAACGAAATTATGCGTCTATAGACTCCTATTTCCTTGAAAATTCTGTCCAATTTTATAAGCAAATAATAATTTATTAATTATTATTTACACCAATAATAATAATTTGAATACTGATTTTACACCAATAATAATAATAATAATTTGAATTATACACACACAGAATAATGATTTTGCGTAATATTAATTTTTGAAAATTCTTTTTCAATTTATTTGCATAAAGATAGATTCCTTAATTTATTTGCGTAAATATGGATTCTTTTTCCTCTATATTCGAATAATAATTTTGCGAAAATATGTATTCTTTTTCCTATTTAAACACTTCATTATGCTAAATGTGTAGCTGTAAACTTCCAACAAAATTCTGCATCTATAGACTCCTATTTACACCAAATATCAATCGATATTGTTGGACGTGAAATTTCTCCTAGAAAAAGATTCTAAGGAATGCAATCAAGGTTAGAGTAGTGCGTACCTATGAGATTCCAGAGAAGAGAAGTGTTGAAACAATCAAGTCTATAGAGTACGTATTTCATGATGAAGAGGTATTGTATTTGTACTATCGTCTGAATAATTTTTTTAATTCAAAAGGTTTTGTTTATACATATAATTTTTTACTATATTTTTTTTACACTTCAATTTCAGTGAACTTTTCTTCATGCACATATTCCTAAAATTTATGTTCAAAAATGAAATTTAAAGAAGATTGAGTTTACAAGATTAAAATTTTTTTGGTGGTTACTAATTTGTATAGATACAAAACAATCACTAACAAGTATATGTTGTAGTTCTATTCCAACACAACTGTGAGAGAATTCAAGGATGCAGTTTTCCCTACGCATATTTATGACAAAGAAGATAATGATTTGTTTGAAGAGGTTACTTATTTGTCACTTACATTGTTTTCCCATCTGTGTAACTTTATTTAGTTATAAAGGATGATGGATTTGTTAAGAGTTGTGAAGGTTGAGAAGCTAGATTGAAATAAAATATTTTCTTGTTGAAATTCTATACATTTATGTCTTTGGGCATTAAAGATTTTTTCTATGATTCATGGTTGATATTTAACCGAAGTTTGTCCCGGTTCATTTCAATATTTAGGTTTTATCTTATATTTCAAATTTTAAATTTATGTGCTTTGTTTAAATCTTAAATCGTATGGTTTTACATTACTTTGAATAATTGACTTAAAAATTATGAATGGATTTCACATGGAAAAAGAAAAATGAATGGAAATGAATATGAATTCTTTATATGAAGGAAAAAGGAATGAATATATTTATATTTAATTGGAAGTACGGATTCCCTTCTAAAAAAAAAAAAAAAAAAAAAAAAAAAAAAAAAAAAAACAGGAAGTGCAGATGCAAGATCATGTAATAAGAGCATCCACATTTGTTGGGGATAATAGGGGGATAATGTAAGAGTGATTAGGAAAGAGAAGATGGGAGGGGAGAGAAAAAAAGGAAAAAAAAAAAGAAAATTAAATTTAAAATAATAATAATAATAATAAATAAAGACTTTCAGGCGCGCCTCTGGGCGCAGAGGTAACAGCCACGCATGGCTGTCACACTTGGTTAAAAATTGTGGTGGGTCCCACATTTCTGAAATCTCCCCACATTTGTAGAAGGATCCCATTTTTCTCTTTCTTCCTTCTCTTTCTTCCACATGGCACAAATTTCTGACATTATTCTCCCATTATGCATTGGTGTGGTTGCTCTAAGCCCAAGTCTTCTAGTCAGCACTCGAGAATCCGACAACATAACGGCAGAATATGAATATATCACCCTATGATGTAAAGCTATCAACTGGCCAAAACTTGCTCATTTTGCAGCGCACCTAATCTCGCAGAAATCCGACAGTGTAACAGCTGTTTTTAAGACTATCCATAAATAGACATAAGCCCCAAATAACCTTAACAACTCACAAGCCGCAATAAAAAAGGGCACACATGCCAAATTAAAACAAGATGGCACGCAGACCAAAAAATAAATGGCACATAGGCCGCCAATAGCAAAATGTCTCAAAGGTCCAAACAATAACACAACACCAACTCAGTAATCAGAACGAAAAATTATATATGTTGTGAGCACGTGCTCACCATGCACATGGTGCACACGAATCTATATCCATAATTTCTATATTGTATATCCATAATTTTTATACTGTATATCCATAATTTCTATACTGTAAATCCATAAATTTCAAGACTCTCGGTGAGCTAAAATTATGAATCTAAAGTATAAATTTTAGCTCACCGAGAGTCTCGAAATTATGGATATATAGTATAGAAATTATGGATATAGATTCGTGGTTAGAAATTATGAATCTAAAGTATAAATTTTAGCTCACTAGAAATTATGGATATATAGTATAGAAATTATGGATCTACAGTATAGAAATTATGAATATACAGTATAGAAATTATGGATATAAATGTGTGTGCACCATGCAAGGTGAGCACGTGCTCACAGCATAATGATTGAATCAGAACCCTAACGGGATTAGCTACTATATGGGCCAGCAGCAAGCCTAGACAGACCGCCAACGAATTTGATTAATCCCCTACCCGGTTACCGTTCAGACTGGATCAAGGTGCAACTTCTTACCGCAAGCACCGACATTGAGGCATGATCTGTTCAAAAGAATACCCACAAGGGTCAAACCAAGCGAAGCAACACCAATAAATACCTTAGAGGCCAAGAAAATTCAAACAAAAGGGGGCATGTAGGAACAAAAAACAACACACTCCTACTATAAACAAAATATTGTGAAAAGACAAGCAGAAATAGATAGAGAAAGAGATAGCAAAGTAGATGAAAGACACGAACAATAAGGCAACCCCCAACATATGTAACCCGCCCCACCTAAAATTCAGAAAGGACTCGACTAGATTAATTGATTTCATTCTTAAAGATGGCCAGTAGGGTTTTAATATTTTTGTTTAATTACTTTGATTACCACAATTTTTATTTGTTTAATTATAAATCTAACAATGTGTTTATTTTATTTTATAAAAGATTTGTATAAAATGCACGGTTTGGGATGAACACATTGAAATCGTGGTGCCATACTACAACAAAGTAGTGGAAGGACCCTTGATATATAGTGTTGATCCAAATATGCAGAGCTACTGTTAAGACTTAAGAGTGGTGATATATATAAATATAAATATAAATATATATATATATATATATATATATATATATATATATATATATATATATATGTGTGTGTGTGTGTGTGTGTGTGTGTGTGTGTGTGTGTGTGTGTGTGTGTGTTTTGGTTTAAGGCTTTTGGTTGTTGTTCCTATTAATGTTATAATATTTTTTTTCTATTATTTAATAGGTGAAGTTAGAATATCAAGTTCTCATGATATGATAAAATTGTGGTTTAACTATGTCAGTCCCGAATTTTCTATTTTAAGAAAGGTAAAGAATAAAACATTAAATGTTTATCTACTGAAGTTTTGTGGTTTGTATTTGATTTTTTTTTTAATTTTTTTTTAGTCCAAGGGATATTCAAACTCCACTAAAATGCATAA